AAGATCTGATCTGGGTTTGTCATCACACTGGGTTTGTCAGTACAATACCCCTGTGTAAGATCTGTATCACACTGGGTTTGTCAGTACAATACCCCTGTGTAAGATCTGTATCACACTGGGTTTGTCAGTACAATACCCTGTGTAAGATCTGTATCACACTGGGTTTGTCAGTACAATACCCCTGTGTAAGATCTGTATCACACTGGGTTTGTCAGTACAATACCCCTGTGTAAGATCTGTATCACACTGGGTTTGTCAGTACAATACCCCTGTGTAAGATCTGTATCACACTGGGTTTGTCAGTACAATACCCCTGTGTAAGATCTGTATCACACTGGGTTTGTCAGTACAATACCCCTGTGTAAGATCTGTATCACACTGGGTTTGTCAGTACAATACCCTGTGTAAGATCTGTATCACACTGGGTTTGTCAGTACAATACCCCTGTGTAAGATCTGTATCACACTGGGTTTGTCAGTACAATACCCCTGTGTAAGATCTGTATCACACTGGGTTTGTCAGTACAATACCCCTGTGTAAGATCTGTATCACACTGGGTTTGTCAGTACAATACCCCTGTGTAAGATCTGTATCACACTGGGTTTTCCTTCCACACCAGGAAGGCGCGCTGTTATAATTTACCTACTCGTTATTAATCCGCTGGACGCCAGTTAAATCCGGGTTAGAATTTGTGTTCAGCAACCCATGCTTGTCATAAAAGCGACTAAGGGGACAAGGTAGTTAGGTTCGCTGATTGATGTCAACGTATGCTTACTAGAATCAGCAACCCGTGACTAGAATCAAAACAGGCATGTGCATGCATGCCATCGTATCCAGACTTCATAGATCGATGCTCAGGATATCTATCACAAGGGTACCTGTTCACACACGTACAGACGACCGCCATACAGCGGGAACATTTCTGAGTACGGAAACAACAAACAAGCCAGCATGCAAATAGCATCAAAGAAAATGTAGGATGCCTTGTCGAGAATGCCGAATCGGACTTAAAAGCGATGTCATTAATACAACCCATTACAGTGAGCTGGCATCAACACGTTTTGGACAACATCACGTCCTGAAGGTAATTCTTATGTTCCGGCACTGTCCTGGTATGACAACAAGTGGCAAGGGTTTGACAAGCCACGAGTTGCGCTGTATGTTACATACATTGTACCTCATTACTTTAATGAGTATTGTGGTGGTATATCAGTCATTAATAGCGCTCGTGATCTTTTCGCCTGTACTTATCAAGCATTATCTCATTAAAAAGACCTTTCATCCGCTCAATAAGAACGTCGGTGACGAGGACTTTGTCAGTAAATGGTCTAAGCATTGCCTCAAATAGATGTCACTGTTCTGACACAAATATACACTCTCTCAAAAAAAGAAACGCAACCCCTATCTAAATATCTGACATCATTTCTAGAATAAAGATGGTGAATGTAAATTAGAATTTTCTTCAAAATACTGTTAATACGTTCCCATCTGATCAGTATAAGCTCCCAAACGGAACCATTGTCACACATGATGACCTTTGTATCCGTGTTATTTGAGAAAGTGCGAAATTGTCATGTACAAAATGCTAAAGCCTGTTGCACGTGCAAATCGTTGAAAACACAGTTCATGTAGAGGGTTTTAAAAGCACGCGTAGTTTGTAATTTTTCTCTCATAATTTGCTCTGCAAATCAAGTTCGAAAATGCCCCGTTTGAGTACAGCAAATCGAAATATTGCCATTGGTCGCATTGAGGCCGGGGAAAGCTTTGGAACAGTTGCCCGTCATCTAAACGTACACAAAACAACAATCTCACGACTTTGGAATCGTTACACACAGTTCCATGCAATTGAAGATCGTCCCAGGAGCGGTAGACCTAGGATCACCACACCGGCTCAGGATCGCTTTATTCGACTCCAGCCACCTACGTAATCGGCATGCCACACCCACCATCACTGCAACACAGGTGCCAGGTTTGAGGAGAGTATCGGCCCAAACCATCAGGAACCGTTTACATGAGGCAAATTTACGTGCAAGAAGACCAGTTGTTGGGCCCGTCTTGAACGCCAACATCGACGCCAACGTCTCAGGTGGTGTACTAACGTAAGGAGATGGACCCTAAGAAACTGGAGAAGAGTCTGGTTTAGTGACGAGTCTCGTTTTCTTCTTCAACGACGTGACGGTAGACAACGTGTCTATAGACGAGCAAATGAACGTTTTGCACCGAAATGCGTTCGACAGGTCGACAGATTTGGAGGAGAAAGCATCATGGTATGGGGAGCCATGTCTTACAACCAACGGTCAGACTTGGTCATCATTCGTGGCAATTTGACGGCACAACGGTACATTGATGACGTCTTACAGCCACATCTTCTGCCGATAATCGCCCAACAGAGGGAGTTGTTTCAACATGACAATGCCCGCCCTCATACAGCTCGTGCAACAGTGGCATTCCTACAGAATTCAAACGTCAACGTGATGCCGTGGCCCTCCAGATCGCCAGACATCAATCCTATCGAACATCTGTGGGACCAGCTGGATCGTCGTGTTCGTGCACGTACACCACAACCGCACACGTTGGTTGAACTGGCCGCAGCACTCCAGGAAGAGTGGAGAGCAATCCCCAGGAAAACATCCGCCGTCTGATCTGTTCTGTTCCGAGGAGGTGCACTGCTGTGATTAGAGCTCGTGGCTCTACAACGAGATACTGAAGACAACGCCCCTAGCGTAAATTGAGAGTTCGATACTGACCTGCATTAACTGTTACCTTATACCGTGCTGACCTAAGGTTCACCATGTCAAATTTCATGGCATTATCTTTAAAAATACAAATGTAATAAATCCAGTTAAAATTGATATAAACATTACCAAAAAACAGGGGTTGCGTTTCTTTTTGAGAGAGTGTATATACGCTAATCACCACTCAGGTCAAACATTGATCGATATACCATCAGTAAACGTTAATCACCACTCAGGTCAAACGTTGATCTATATACCACAGTAAACGTTAATCACCACTCAAGTCAAACGTCGATTTATATACCGCAGTAAACATTAATCATCATTCAAGTAAAACGTTGATCTTCATACCACAGTAAACGTTAATCGCCATTCAAGCAAAACGTTGAGTATATTACGTGAGCTTCATTAACTTTGACATTCGTGTATTTGAACAATAACGTTGTGATCGAGTCTGAGAGACCGAGGGAGAACTGCTCGTAACGTTGACCCACATGCAGATCCACAATTAAGATCATTGTCAGATCAGATCAAGGTTGGTGTTTCTCTCGGCTTCTGGTGTCAGGTCGACGTAACCTCGCAGTAGTTAGACACCTATTTGTTAAACACAATGTATGTTTGAGTGCACAGGAATCAACATACTGGCACTTCAGGGTAATAATGGGGAAGTACAGATAATGCGAACACTTACCATGTTGAAGATTACAGTGATGTATTTGATGTATGCTACACGCCGTTTCTATGAAGGATTCTGTTGGGAATTTAACATGTTATATAACGTAAAATAATCAGAAAACAATGAAAACATTCCAAAAGCATGCTGGAATACAGTCTTCTGTTGAAATCCTTCCTTTGAATAAAGGCATTTTCAACAACTCCTTTGGCATCTACAGTTGCAGGTCTTAACTACACATATCCAGTGAGAGTAGGTTAACGATTCCGGTTGAGGTCCTCGTCGCAACCGAGAGTCTGGTCGAGAGTCATTGTGGCTTTTTGGTGTCTTTTCAGTGTTCTCTGGTATCTGGTCGGTCGTTGTAGGGCTTCGTGAAGTAGCAGGTGATGGTGACCCATGTAGTGGCATGGGGTGGGGTCTCTTGTAGTGGCAGGTGGTGGGGTCTCTTGTAGTGGCATATGGTGGGGTCTCGTGTAGTGGCAGGTGATGGTGACCCATGTATTGGCAGGTGGTGGGGTCTCTTGTAGTGGCAGGGGGTGGGGTCTCCTGTAGTGGCATATGGTGGGGTCTCGTGTAGTGGCTGGTGGGTGGGGTCCCATGTATTGGCAGGCAGGTGGTGGGGTCTCTTGTAGTGGCAGGTGGTGGGGTCTCTTGTAGTGGCAGGTGGTGGGGTCTCTTGTAGTGGCAGGTGGTGGGGTCTCTTGTAGTGGCAGGTGGTGGGGTCTCTTGTAGTGGCAGGGGATGGGGTCTCTTGTAGTGGCAGATGGTGGGGCCTCATGTATTGGCAGATGGTGAGTCTCTTGTAGTGGCATATTGTGGGGTATCGTGTAGTGGCAGGTGATGATGACCCATGTAGTGGCAGGGAGTGGGGTCTCTTGTAGTGGCAGGGGATGGGGTCTCTTGTAGTGGCAGATGGTGTGTCTCTCGTAGTGGCAGATGGTGAGTCTTTTGTAGTGACAGGGTGTGGGGTCCCCTGTAGTGCCAGATGGTGGGTCTCTTGTAGTGGCAAGGGCTGGGGTTTCTTGTAGTGGCAGGGGATGGGTCTCTTGTAGTGGCAGGGGATGGGGTCCCTTGTAGAGGCAGATAGTGGGGTCTAGTGTAGTGGCAGGGGTGGGGTCTCTTGAAGTGGCAGATGGTTGGGTCCCTTTTAGTGGCAGATGGTGGGGTCTCTTGCGGTGGCAGGTGGTGGGGTCTCTTGCAGTGGCAGATGGTGGGCCTCCTGTAGTGGCAGCGGTTGGGGTCTCTTGTAGTGGCAGGGGTTGGGGTCCCTTGTAGTGGCAGATGGGTGGTCTCTTGTAGTGGCAGGTGTTGGGGGTCTCTTGTAGCGGCAGATGGTGGGGTCCCTTTAGTGGCAGGTGGTGGGGTCTCTTGTAGCGGCAGATGGTGGGATCCCTTTTAGTGGCAGGTGGTGGGGTCTCTTGTAGCGGCAGATGGTGGGATCCCTTTAGTGGCAGGAGGGGGGTCTCTTGTAGTGGCAGGGGTAGGGTCCCTTTTGTGGCAGGGGGTGGGGTCCCTTTGAGTGGCAGGGGTGGGGTCCCTTGTAGTGGCAGGGGGTTGGGGTCACTTGTAGTGTCAGGTGGTGGTGGTCTCTTTTAAGTAGGGATGGGATGCAGGCAGGTGGGGGTCCCTTTTAGTGGCAGATGGTGGGGTCTCTTGTAGTGGCAGGTGGTGGGATCCCTTGTAGTGGCAGGTGGTGGGGGGTCTCTTGTAGTGGCAGGGTGGTAGGGTCCCCTGTGGTGACGTGGGGTCCTAGTCTCAGGTGGTGATATCGGGTCACTCCTGTAGTGGGGTCTCTTGTAGTGGCAGGAGTGGTGAGGGTCTCTTGTAGTGGCATGGTGGTGATGATGGGTGTGTCTCTGTAGTGAGGTGGTGATGAGTCCCATGTAGTGGCAGGGGTGGGGTCTCTTGTAGTGGCATGGTGACGGGGTCTCTTGTAGTGGCAGATGGTGTGTGTAGTGATGTGGTGGGTCTCTTGTGGTGATGGTGATGATGTCTCCTGTAGTGACAGATGGTGGGTCTCTGTAGTGGCAGTGGTGCTCTTGTAGTGATGGTGGCTGGTCTCTTGTAGTGACGTGGTTATGGGTCTCGTGTAGTGGCAGGTGGTGGGGTCTCTTGTAGTGGCATGGTGACGATGTCTCCTGTAGTGACGTGGTTATGTCTCGTGTAGTGATGGTGGTGAGGTCTCTTGTAGTGATGGTGATGATGTCTCCTGTAGTGACGTGGTGCAGTCTCTTGTAGTGGCAGTGGTGAGGTCTCTTGTAGTGATGGTGGGATGTCTCTGTAGTGACGTGGTTATGTCTCCCTGTAGTGAGGTGGTGGGGTCTCTTGTAGTGATGGTGACGGTCTCCCTGTAGTGACGTGGTTATGTATCGTGTAGTGATGGTGGGTGAGGTCTCTTGTAGTGATGGTGACGATGTCCCTGTAGTGACGTGGTTGGTTATGTAGTAGTGATGGTGGTGAGGTCTGTGGTGGTGAGGTCTCTTGTGTAGTGAGGTGGTGAGGTCTCTTGGTGATGGTGAGGATGTCTCCTGTAGTGACGTGGTTATGTATCGTGTAGTGGCAGGTGGTGAGGTCTCTTGTAGTGATGGTGGGATCCCTCCCGTAGTGACGTGGTTATGTATCCTTGTGATGGTGGTGTGGGTCCCTTGTAGTGGCATGGTGTAGATGTCTCCTGTAGTGAGCGTGGGTGTATCGTGGATGGGGTGGGGTCACTTTGTAGTGATGGTGATGTCTCCTGTAGTGACAGTGGTTATGTCCTCTTGTAGTGGCATGGTGATGATGGTCTCCTGTAGTAGTGGCACGTGGTCGGTCTCTTGTAGTGATGGTAAGATGGTGGGTGATCGTGTGGTGGTGGTGGTGGGGTCTCTTGTAGTGATGGTGATGATGTCTCCTGTAGTGACGTGGTTATGTCTCGTGTAGTGATGGTGGTGAGGTCTCTTGTAGTGATGGTGGTGAGGTCTCTTGTAGTGATGTGGTGAGGTCTCTTGTAGTGATGTGGTGAAGTCTCCCAGGTTTTGATGTTATTAGGCAGTGTTTTCAACAACAAGCTTTGGTCCAGGCCGAAGGTGCATGCTGTCCCCCGTTAGGGTTAACCTGCAGTTACCTGCACTAACCCACCACTTAAACCCTCATTAACAACCAGCAATTCTTCTACGGATGTGTTAGATCTTAGTGTCACTTTTTGCAATACAATGAGAACACAACACAACGTTAACTTCATGTTGCAATAATGGAACCATTTAATACGCAACTGTTTATACAGAGGATATAGTCTACATGTATACTGATGATAATGTAACAATGGTCAAATAGACAATTCCTCCTGACTAACGAACGAAATGAAACAAGACAAACATATGTACAGACATACATCAGCAAAAAGACATATTTTGATGTAAAACCGCTTCAGAAATAGTATTGATGATCATAATGCAGTGAGCCAGAATACGAGCAATTTGTACACAGCTATAAATACACTTATTAGCAGGCCGAACAGCATGCAGATATGGTCAGAAATGGCTCTCGATTGAGAAAATGAATAAAATTAAATACACACATACTGATGATTGATGTTTGACTGTGTAGATGTTTACCTACAGGTTTTCACATGCGTGCAAATACTCGTGCATTATGTATGCCTATGCATAAATATTTGATAGTGTTGATGTACAGGTACCATGTGGTTTTAACAATGTATAAACAAGCAACACGTCGCCATACATTGGAAATAGGACATTGCCAACATCATTTTTTTCTTTCTTCAATATTTGGTGAGAATTCAAGATTGGGATCTTCTACGTATACATTCCACATCATTAGTTAGATATAGTCGAGGTAACCCACATCGACTCACAATTCAGACCCAGTCAAGGTAGGTTAACCCACATCGACTCACAAGTCAGATCCATTCAAGGTAGGTTAACCCACGTCGACTCACAAGTCAGATCCATTCAAGGTAGGTTAACCTACGTCGACTCACAGAGTCAGATCCAGTCAAAGTCAAGGTAGGTTAACCCACGTGGACTCACAAGTCAGATCCATTCAAGGTAGGTTAACCTACATCGACTCACAAGTCAGATCCAGTCAAGGTAGGTTAACCCACATCGACTCACAAGTCAGATTCAGTCAAGGTAGGTTAACCCACATCGACTCACAAGTCAGATCCAGTCAAGGTAGGTTAACCCACATCGACTCACACAGTCAGATCCAGTCAAGGTAGGTTAACCCACGTCGACTCACAAGTCAGATCCAGTCAAGGTAGGTTAACCCACATCGACTCACAAGTCAGATCTAGTCAAGGTAGGTTAACCCACATCGACTCACAAGTCAGATCCAGTCAAGGTTAACCCACATTAACCCACATCGACTCACAAGTCAGATCCAGTCAAGGTAGGTTAACCCACATCGACTCACAAGTCAGATCCAGTCAAGGTAGGTTAACCCACATCGACTCACAAGTCAGATCCAGTCAAGGTAGGTTAACCCACATCGACTCACAAGTCAGATCCAGTCAAGGTAGGTTAACCCACATCGACTCACAAGTCAGATCCAGTCAAGGTAGGTTAACCCACATCGACTCACAAGTCAGATCCAGTCAAGGTAGGTTAACCCACATCGACTCACAAGTCAGATCCAGTCAAGGTAGGTTAACCTACATCGACTCACAAGTCAGATCCAGTCAAGGTAGGTTAACCTACATCGACTCACAAGTCAGATCCAGTCAAGGTAGGTTAACCCACATCGACTCACGACTCACAAAGTCAGATGACTCACACAGTCAGATCCAGTCAAGGTAGGTTAACCTACATCGACTCACAAGTCAGATCCAGTCAAGGTAGGTTAAGTCAGATTCAGTCAAGGTAGGTTAACCCACATCGACTCACAAGTCAGATCCAGTCAAGGTAGGTTAACCCACATCGACTCACAAGTCAGATCCAGTCAAGGTAGGTTAACGACTCACACAGTCAGATCCAGTCACACTCACAAAGTCAGATCCAGTCAAGGTAGTCAGATCCAGTCAAAGGTAGGTTAACCCACATCGACTCACAAGTCAGATCCAGTCAAGGTAGGTTAACCCACATCGACTCACAAGTCAGATCCAGTCAAGGTAGGTTAACCCACATCGACTCACACAGTCAGATCCAGTCAAGGTAGGTTAACCCACATCGACTCACACAGTCAGATCCAGTCAAGGTAGGTTAACCCACATCGACTCACAAGTCAGATCCAGTCACAGGACTCAGGTTAACCCACATCGACTCACAAGTCAATCCAGTCAAGGTAGGTTAACCCACATCGACTCACAGTCAATCCATTCAAGTAGGTTAACCCACATCGACTCACAAGTCAGATCCAGTCAAGGTAGGTTAACCCAACCTCACAAGTCAGATCCAGTCAAGTCAACTCAAAAGTCAGATCCAGTCAAGGTAGGTTAACCTACATCGACTCACAAGTCAGATCCAGTCAAGGTAGGTTAACCCACATCGACTCACAAGTCAGATCCAGTCAAGGTAGGTTAACCCACATCGACTCACAAGTCAGATCCATTCAGATTAACCACATCGACTCATAAGTCAGATCCAGTCAAAGGTAGGTTAACCTACATCGACTCACAAAGACTCACACAAGTCAGATCCCTACATCAAGGTAGGGTTAACCCACGTCGACTCACAAGTCAGATCCAGTCAAGGTAGGTTAACCCACGTCGACTCACAAGTCAGATCCATTCAAGGTAGGTTAACCCACGTCGACTCACACAAGTCAGATCCATTCAAGGTAGGTTAACCCACGTCGACTCACAGAGTCAGATCCAGTCAAAGTCAAGGTAGGTTAACCCACGTGGACTCACAAGTCAGATCCAGTCAAGGTAGGTTAACCTACATCGACTCACAAGTCAGATCCATTCAAGGTAGGTTAACCCACGTCGACTCACAAGTCAGATCCATTCAAGGTAGGTTAACCCACGTCGACTCACTGAGTCAGATCCAGTCAAGGTCAAGGTAGGTTAACCCATGTCGACTCACAAGTCAGATCCAATCAAGGTAGGTTATCCCACGTCGACTCACAAGTTAGATCCAGTCAAGGTGGGTTAACCCACGTCGACTCACAAGTCAGATGCAGTCAAGGTTAACCCACATCGACTCACAAGTCAGATGCAGTCAAGGTTAACCCACACCATTTCACGAAGAACATAGTAAATTACACATCCACATACTGGTATCCTTCCTAACTGCTCAAAGTTCTCTAATGCCTCTCAAACGCTTTTACATAGTAAATTGTTTGAAACGCACGTACAATATCCATTTGTACTTTGAAGTATTGTATTTTGTCACAGCAGTATTCCAACCAGATATCATATGGCGGCAACCTGTATGCCTTAGTGTAGCATCATACTCAAACCAAACACTGTCTGTTGGGATGTAGCACCGCACCCAAGTCATGGCCTCGTTGCCGCATCAAAACCAAACCATGACCTGTATGTTTGGGTGTAGACACTCACCCGAACAATGGCCTGGGTATCATGTATACTACGTATCAAAAGTTTAGACTCACTAGTGTAAATGTTGCCACTTACTTCAGTCAACTGTTCTAAACTACATTTTGCAAAATATCCAATATAGTTTAAGGGTACTGTTTACACATGAACTGATGTATTGTAAAACAAATTCGTAACGTTGAAAAGATTATTGTAATGAATTCAATAAATGAAGAAACTCAGTGAAAATTGGTGAATTCTTAACAAAACTTTACACCAAAACGCAGCTGTTCACATGCACGATATTTGCACATGCTTTACAGCAATTTGGTGCATGATCCTCGTGCAATTCATCTGCATAAGGTTTGCAGTTGGTTCCCCAAGTTAATGGAGAGATTCATCTTTGATGTAACCACACATATATGCATAACATATAGTGAGTGCTTTAAGTAAGTCTAAACTTTTGAAAGGTAGTATATATTCATAATCATGGACGGAGGCCATCGTGTGGAGGCATCTTATCATGGTCTGGCTGCCCTGGTGTAAAACTGTACCCAAACCATGGCCAACTCTAATGATGTATCGTCGTTCATTAACTATTATCTGTGTGTCCTGGTGCAGCGTCATATCCGAATCGTGGCCTGGCTGTCCTAGTGTAACATCATACCCTATTTATAACCCTAGATTGAGACCATAGTGAAAGAGTAACGCTGTCAAGATGTGAGTATACATCATTCTTTAATCTATGAAAGAACAGATAAGTTAAACAGTCGTCTCCTATATTTGCGTTTGGCTTTACTTTCTTGTTAATGCTAACTAAAGACAAATGTCTGCTTTCGTTATTGTCATTTATAGTATTGTCAACGCGTATATGTGTCGACAGTGGAACTAGTTCAGAATTAAGACCAACAATACGTTGACAAAGACGAAGAAATAGTTGAGTCCAGACTTCTTTAGTTGGCTATACAATACATGATCAACAAATACACAAGACGCAATGAGCTGGAGTACCAGCGGAGTACCAGCTCAACGTCAGGGCGTTTCCTACGAGCGGCATTATCATGCTCGCGGTCGTCCCTACACAGACAGTCGGAATACCGGCCTGGTGACAATATAGATATGAACATACTAGTATATATAATTATAGACAACAATGAACAGACGAAGAGTTAACAATGGACC